GCGACGGGGGCTGCCGTCGCCTTGTGACGCGGTCGCCATGGCGACCAGGTAGCGCTCGGCGACGGGGGCTGCCGTCGCCTTGGCAACGCCGCCGCGCGCCGGTAACGGCTGCCGCGAGCGTTGCGGCCCGGGAGGCGCCGTTGGGACCGTTGCGTGACGTCGGGTGGGGGGGAGCTGTGGGCAGCACAGCGCGGGGCGCTGCTTGCTGCGTTTCTGCCTTCAGCGCCCGACCTCCGCTCGTTCAAATCCGAATTTTCAATGTAAATTTGTTTTCTCCCAGGGACGTGGCTGTTGTACTTGCCGTGCACCTGGAGCATAGGCCTGGCCGCAGAGCCGGGTTGTTTCCCGGACTGCTACCTGCTCTCCTTGTTTGGGGCCGGAGCGGTTCTCATGCGTGGAGCRGGCTGCACCATCAACGACATGTGGGATCGGGACTATGACAAAAAGGTAGCGGAGCCCCTGGCGGCTTCTAAAGACCAGGAGGCCTCTTAACGTTTGATAAGGAAGTGAATTGCGGGTTATTAAACCCAATCTTTCACCTGCRACACGATCAATAATTGTAGGCTTTAAGCATGCATAGATCTCCAGGCAAATCCATTTTTTGGATGTTGGAAGTTTGTCAAGGTTGTCCATGTTTCTGTTTGAGATGCGATTCATTTGTCTGTGTTTTCTGCTGGAATGGTAAAATTACTTTATGCCCATATTACTCTRTAAGTACGGACTGCTTTGTGTAAGTTAATCGTATGTTATTAGCGGTATGTGGTAGCTGAAGACAATACRTTTATTTATTCAACTCTTTTCTGCACACCAGAGCAAAGTAAGTAAGACTGCTGCAGCTTTAAAGCTGGTTTAGCTGTCAGCGAGGTGGGTTGGGAGCTGGCTGAAAGGCAGAGCTCAGCAGGTTGTGCACAGTGGAGCAAAGTCTGGTTGGAGGCTCCATATCGTGCGGTGTGGCCCAGAGGTCAACGTTGGGGTCCGTTGGTTCAATGCATTCGTCAGTGCTCTGGACCAGGGGACAGGCAATCAGCAAGTTTGTTGATGATACAAAGCTGATACCCCCAAGGGCCATTCATGGGGACCTGGACAGGCTGGAGAGATGAGTGGAGAGGAACCTCCTGAAGTTCACCCAGGGCGAGTACAGGGTCCTCCATCTAGGRAGGAATAAYCCCATGCACCGGAGCAGACTGAGCTTCYGGGAAGCAGCTCTGCGGAGAAGGAGCCGGGAGTCCCGTGGGACTGCAGACTGTGTACCCCGGGGTGCCTCGCGAGAGTGTTCACTGTCGTGTCAGTGGCATGACACTTCTCTGACAAGTTTGTATTTATCATGCTGGATTTAGGATTTAACGTTTTTTCTTTTTTCTCGTTTCAGGTTGCAAGGACAGCAAGCAGACCCCTGGCAGCTGGCGATATCTCCACTTTCCAGTCCTTCRTTTTTCTTGGGGGACAGCTTAGCTTGGCTCTTGGTGTGCTTCTGTGTCTGAACTACTACAGGTGATTTAGAAGTGACATTTTATTCCTCAAAATTTCTTTTCTTGACGCTGTGTTAAGCACAGAGGTTTTCAGCTGAAAAGGTTTGGGAAGAGAAAAGAAAAAGGAGGATTTTAGTCACTGCATTGTAGCTGGAAGTCTTTGGTTTGATAATGTGAACCACACTGGTAATGCTGCACAATGTCTTGGGGTTCTTGCACCAGCAAATAATAAGTCTGCAAATAGAGCAGCAAATAATAAGTCTGATAATACTTCTCACAGTATAGCCCTGGGAGCAGCCTCCTTGTCTCTTGTGATCACCTATCCTCTGATGAAGAGAATAACATATTGGCCACAGTTAGTTCTGGGTGAGTTTAAAATGTTTTTACTTTGTTTCAGATACTGTTTGGGGCTTAGAAATTAGAAGTTGAATTTAAGCCATCTGATTTTATCTAAATTTTATAAAAATACAGATAAAGCTGTGTTGTGCCAGAAGCTTCTTAAAAGTTTCTAAGATCTAGGAATTAGGGTTTGATTATTTTTTCCTGATAATAAATGTATTTTCTTGAAGTGTTGAGAGAGAACATTTGTCACATGAAAATTAGCTGTAGTTCTGAGGTTATATTGAAACCATTTGTAAATGTGCATTTGCTCCACATTTCAGTTTTCAGTAAAACCACTTTACAGGAACTGATTGCACCTGAAGCCATAAGACATCTGTCAGTAGCTTGTATATTTTGCATTTTAGCTGCCTTCAGCTTTTCAATCATAATTACAATTTTTTTATGATTCTTTAACTACTGCAGYTTGCTGTGTACTGTTTTGCAACATTTTAACTTGAGATGTATTGTGTGAGTGCGCTCCAAAGCATTTTTTTTTCTGTGCTAAAGAAATAAAAAATTAACGGGGAAAAATGTGTAGCTCAATGTACTTCTCTGTTTATGTCCTGTGTATTTGATATCAAGTTATTTTTGTATTTAATGTCTGTGTGAAAAAAAGGCATAGAAAATAGGGATACTCGCGTGTGTAGAAAAACCTGCTGACCTGATACACAGTCAAGGAAGTAATATTGAATTCCCCGAATGTGGTTTAGATATCTGTGGGCACCTTTTTAGCTCCGTTTCCTGAACTCTCCTTCTGCTTTTAGGCCTTGCCTTTAACTGGGGAGCGCTGCTCGGGTGGTCGGCCGTCAAAGGGTCGTGCGAGTGGTCCGTGTGTTTGCCCCTATATGTGGCTGGAGTTATGTGGACGCTGGTATATGATACCATATATGCTCATCAGGTAGAGTAACAGGGGGAACGTGTAGATACCTGTGTGTATTTATGTGTTTAATTTGCTGCTTTGGATTCAAACGGTACGAACCTGTTGCAATTCCTCACCCTTGAATGAGCTAAAATAGGGGAAAAAGAGGGGCCCTTTCCCCCTGCTTGTACGTTTGAACTAGTGTGCAAAGCATTGGGAATTTTTTGTCAGCTACATGTAAACRCGCTGTGTAAATAGCTTTGATGAAGCTGTTGGGCACTAAAGTAGCTCTGCGGATCAGTTTTTAAGGGATCTTCAGAAAGGCTTCAATCGGTTCCTGAATAAGAAGCATTTCTAGTTTTAGTGAGGCCCCTTTTCTCACGACTTAACACTTAGGTTCTATTTTGGGGGCTTTGTTTTGCTAATCCATTCTTTCATTTTAGGATAAGAGGGATGACGTCCTTATTGGTGTGAAGTCAACAGCATTACAGTTCAAAGAAGATACAAAGCAGTGGCTCAGTGGCTTCAGTGGGGCGATGCTCATGGCTTTGTGCGTGGCAGGAATGAATTGCAACCAGACCTTGCCCTACTACTCAGCAGTGGCGGCCGCCGGGGCTCACTTAGCACACCAGGTTTGATGAAGTTATTGAACTTTTTCTATGTGGAAGTTCTTGAAAAGAAATTGGAGTGTTTTTCAACGCCTGTCAATTTCCAAACTGCTGGATTTTTTTCCTGTAACTTTCTGTAAAGAGAATTTAAGTCCTCTAGCTATCAACTTTCTTGTCTTTAGTGCCTCTTGCAGAGCTCCCTTTTCAACAAACCCTAGTGGTCCACAGAGTGTTCTTCAGTCTGTTCCTATTCCAAAGAACTCAGGCTTGTAGCTTTTTTTTTTTACTGATATAATTCTGATATAATTCTTAATCTCGTTCTCACATAGATATTTAATTTTTGTCTGCAATTGCAATCTATTAAATTTTAATTTTCAGTTTTTTTTTTTTAATTTAAAAGGCTAAGTTGTCTACTATGGCACATGTAAGTTTTTCTACAAAGTGCTATGCTATAACTGTATCCAAGTGAGTATTGTGTGTTGTATTCCCGAAATGGTTCATTGTACATGTAACCAGCTTTTATCTATTGTGCCCGGGCCTGGGATTTGACAATGGAACAAAATTTCCCATGGCCTTTTCTCTACTACCCGTAGCAGCTGTTAATGTTGCAATTTTACAGTAATTCTGCAATAGTTCTAGATCACAGTTCTTCTTCTAGCTGAAAGCAATCCAATTCAGTTTATATTAGCTTAGAAATACTAATAAATAACAGTAAAACTGACCATTTGCTTTGTCCGAAAAGGAGATGGACGGGATCTTTTCTCCCTGTTCTTTCTGAATCCTGTCGACTTTTAAGGTTATTCATGACTGTGTTTGGTACTTTTTGGGCACTGCTGTTTGTGAGGGTTGCACTTGAGACACATTCCACGTTTCAATGGATAATCATGCAAAGTCTGGACTGTCAGAGTGGCTCCAAACTGTAGTTTTGGCAGAAATGCAAAGTAGTTTCCTGCAAACAGGAGTTTTGCACCGCCGGATGCAGAACGAGGGGCTGTAAGTAGAGAGGAGTGTGGGCAACTCTCTAGATCACGAAAGTCATTAGAGCAGCGTGGTTCCGTGTACCAAAGAGTATCTTCATCTTGAGAGATCAAGAGTAATTTTAGTATTAATATTTTGAACATGCGGTACCTGATTTTAAAAAACTCATTAAGCCATATGGGCTAGACTTTTCTTAAATTATTGAATTTTTGCCTGAATCCCTGTCTAAGGGGAAACAGAGGAAATCAGGTCATGGATATGTCAAATTCGCATCCAGTTAGAGAAGTTTAATGATAAAGAAATAACATTTCTGTTTGCTTTGCGTTTCTCACAAGTACATCTCATGACTTGGCTGCTGTTGAATTTTATTTCTTAGTTCAGTGTTTCAACTTTCGGTGTTTTAAATCTGTGCTTGAGGGGCTTGCAGGCTTTTTAAGGCTGTGGGTAATGCCCTGTTTTAGAAGCTCAGGCAAATGCTGCAGGTTCGTTGCTCGGAATCCAGCCCTGTCCCCTCTGCACAACTGCAGAAACCACAGCGGGCAGAGGAATGGCTTTATTGGTCTAACTTYCATTTCCTCTAGTCGGGTGCCCTCTGTCTGGACATTTTCGGAGGGTGAATTGGGAAGTTCTGGGTCCAGCCTTGTTTCTAGCAGCTGCTGCAGGTGTCCTGGTTCCTACAGAACTCAGTAGATGCSCTCCAGAGCAGCTGGATTAAACCATCCCTGTGCGGCCGGGCAGCTTTCTGTGCAGTACAATCAGCAGGGTCTGCTGCATTCTCCCTGTCACCTCTTCTCTAYTGAAATTTGGCCAACATTTTATAGTAAAATTTAAAAAGGGAAAGGAAGGTGCCATTTCTTTTAAGTTCCCACAGAAGAATGAGGAACTTATCTGTTGAAGAAACCTCTCAGAAAGAGCTGTTCATATGCCTAGATACTTTTGCGCTTTTAAAGCAATTAAAAGCAATTAAAATTAAATTAAAAATTTAACTGACCCAGTAGTTCAATATTTAAACTGCTTATAATTCCTTCCCTAAGAAGGTCCAGGAATGCTGTGTGCAATAGCTGACTTTTCTGCTGTATGTTCTAAGTGAATAAATCTGCCAAATAAATATAGATGCCCCTTGTGCAGCAAAAACCTCTGTTAAGAGCAGCGTTTTCCTGTTTGTCATGGAGCTTCAGGTAGACTTCAGAATTTGAGATTCATTTTTCCAAGGTGTAGACCTTTCATTTTGGGGGGCTAAGTGTCTAATATTCAGGCTTGCAGAATGATAATGGTGGAATGCTSTACTGTCCTTTCAGATTTACACCTTGGACATAGATAAACCTGAAGACTGTTGGAAGAAGTTTACTTCGAATCGGACAGTAGGAGTTCTGCTCTTCGTAGGGATTGTGCTTGGAAACCTTTGGAAAAGACAAGAGCCAGAAAAGAAAGAAGAGCCTTTAGAAAACAGGTAGGTGAAACTACTATAAATGCTTGATATGTTAGTCTTAYTAAAATAAAGATTCTGTGAGAGGAAAAATACTTAGTTGTTTCTGATTTATTCTGTTTATTTGTAATAGCTGCTAAAACTTTCCTTATTTCTAAAAATACACAGGTGAGATTAACCAGGAACATCAGTTTGTTATTCCATGAAGGATTTTAACCACCATGAAAGCTTCAACAAGTAGAGCTGCTGAGCCCTGCTTAAGGTCATAGTGAAGTATTTTAAGTATTGATCCCGTGCAGAACAAGTCAACTTGTGTAAAATCCTCGAGACTGTGAGCCCCAGCACTTTAGACATGACCCAACAGATATCTCGTGATAAGAGTGCATTGGAAAAGCCAGGTGATTTCAGGATGTAAATAAAATGTGGTTGTAAACGCTCGTTGTTATGATTTATTTCATGATCATCGTGCTATTGATACACAAACAGGAGATCATTTGCAGTCTGTGTTGGAGCTTGGTGTGTGAAATAATTTCCATAACTGCTGTTATCCTGAGCTGTTCAGAACCTGTCAGGGCTTTGTGCAGGGTTTGGTTTTTGTTTTATTTTTTTTGCATGCTTGCGTGCTCCAAAACAATAAGACAATAGGAAAATATTTTTAAATSATCTTTTTGCTTTTGCTCTAATTGCTGGCAGACACTGCTATTCTGTGCAAATGAGAGTGGGGGTCACTTCAGGCTAATCGTGGCTGACRCGGCAAGTAAGGTTGTCTCCAGAGAAAGCTTTGCATGTGGCAGCATTGGGAGCTGCGCTTGGATCACGCAGAGGATTTGGTGACGAAAATCATTCTCCTCTTCAAATGGCCTCTCCTTATCTCAGGTCTCTTCCTTTAGCAATGGGTACAACTAGTCGGGCAGTCGTGCTTAAAAAATCAAACCAGGGAGCTGATCTGGCTTTAAATAAGGCGACCCTAGTTAAAGATTATCTAAGTGTCTGAGACATGTGTGTGCAGAGCTGTACGCTCAGGGTTTGTCACCTTTCCTTAGGGAACCAAAGAGGTCCCTATTGCAGCAACACGCCGTGGCTTTRTAGCCAGTGAACAGTTCTGGAAAACGAAATCCATCGTGCGGCTGGGCTGGACCTTGGCGGGGTGGATTTTTGGTAGCCTTCTTGCTTTTCAAATGTACTTTGTTAAGTTTTTCCTTTGTGTTCTCCCATTGTTCCAACAAATGGTGTTAAATAGCTTTGGAGCAAATCATACACGCATGGATCTTGGGGCCTGACTGCACGTACAAAAGAAGTACTTGAAAATGTTAGGAAGCTTAACTGTTAGCATCCTTTAGGTCCCRAGGTAGAAATCATGCTAAGACTTGATTTACAGTGGAAAAAGTATTAAGATGAAGAAAAATATTTTAAATATGGAGAAGAATAACTTTGTGAACGATTATGTGACAAAGACAGGTTTATCAGAGGGAGACCTGAACGTAACCGGTTCTGTGTTGAATTTTGGTTATTAAGAAACCCCCTAAAAGTCTTGTGATACAGTTAGCATGCAGCAGTTTCTTAATACCTAATTATCTTAGAGAGGTTGTGACAAGTTACTTTTATTCTATTTAAATATATTTAAGTGTGTTTAAATAATAACTTTGGTTTGAGAAAAGATCGTGATGAGTAGTGCATTTGAAACAAGTATTTATTTTGTAATTTATTGCACATATTGCAATAATATTRCATAGCAAAAGAGAATAAAAATTCACATTTCTAAACAGTGCCGTCCTAAGCCTTATTTTTTTTGCGTATTTTCTGTGATGCTTTCCCAGAAACAACCTTAAATACAGTTTGTTATAAAGCTAACACCCAGGTGTATTTTAGGTCGCTTGTATAGAAACTGAAATATAGGTATGTATGCGTGTATGTATTCTAGGCTATTGACTGTTTATTCCAGATCATTTTATGTTCCGTGGAAGTATTTTGGATGGATCCTTGCCTGGTGCTTTTCTCGTCCCCTGTCTTTTCTAATTGCTCCTTTGCAGGGCGTCCAAATAGCGACCGCTTTCCGAGGCAGCGGAAAGGCCGGCAGTGTCGGCAGCAGTTGGGAGCTGCCCGGCAGTTTGGCCTTGACCGCCTCGTGGTGGCCGCCGCGCGTCAGGTCCTGCCAACGCCTCGCCAGGGAGGAAGGGCATCGCGATGCAGACCTCAAAGGTACCTGGATTGTGCCCTTCTTGTAGTTCTTTCACCCAAGAAGAGGTTTTTACGCAAAGCAAGCCTGAGATTCCCATTTTCTACCTCAGGAGAGGGCATTTTGCTGCATTTAGCTGAGGAACTGCCTAGTGGAAAYGCAGGCTGGCACGAGAGCAGGTGAGGGCCAGTGGTGCTGGGAGGAGAGCGGTGTGGCCGGAGCTGTGCTGAGCTCACTGCCTCACTCCTMGGGCTGGCCATGAAAAGCAGGACCTGGGAGCTAAAGGGCATTGCTAGTGACTCTTCCTGAGACCTSAAAGCCGGGAAGCTATGTCAAAATACGGAAAGCTGGGAATATCCTTTGGGATGACCTGCAAGCCTGTGAGGGCTAGGGTAGTAAAAAACTGCCGAAAAATTAAGTTATTGCCTCATCTAGACCAACACAGAATTGCGTAATATTAAAGGACCGATACGGTAACCAGAACTGGTAGAATGTATTTTATGACCAAAATGAGGAAAGGCCTAGGCATTTGTTTCAAAACACATCGAGATGTGAATACCTGGGTGGAAGATCTGTTTAAACTTCAAAATTAAACTCACAAAAGAAGGCGAGCACTTACCAGCCACAGATACTATGTTCTGATACTAGCTGGAAGCTTCTAGGCCCTTGGAGAGATTATGGAAACATTGAGTTGTTAAGTATTGCTCAAAATCATTATCTGGCAATCCATGCTCTCCTTCTGTAGGGAAAGACCTGGTCTCTCACCAGTAAATATTTGTGTGGTGTTCGTGGGGCTTGTTTGTCGTGGGTCTTCATCTGGTGAGSATGCTGTGCTACCATTGAGCCTGGTACCTGACGGGCCTTTCCTTGCTCCTGTGTTGGGTGCGATCGGGAGGGCTTGCCCTGCCGTCTTCCTGGGTCTGGCCCGAGGCTTGTGAGCTGCTCTGCTGGTGCCAGTTGTGGACATTTGCAGTGGGAATCTGAGATCTCGGGAAATCTTTCGAAGGAGTCAGGGCTATAGAGTCAGTAATTATTGCATCTGCTGCCTTAASGTCTTGTTCAAGAAATCCAAAATGGGGAGTCTCCTCAGAAAGCTGCCTTGAAGAGTTCGAGCTGTTCAAAGCTGATTGACTTCCAGGTAAGTCAGAAAGTACTTTGGAAAACTGAAGGTTGAACACACAGCTAACTTTGGAAACAACCAGGGCAAATGTTATTGGCAACGGATGTTCTGGGTCAACTCAGCGACGCCCTCGATCTTCCCATCACTTAAACATTTCATGCAAAATGGGGCAGAAAGCTTGACATGCTACGTGCAGCAAGTCAAAGAGAAGAAATACAGCTGTTCACAAGACCCATCTTGTATATGCACTGAGGAAATGATATAGATACAAAAATGAAGCTCCCCTCTTAAAAGGCCTTGTGATGGTGCCCACGTAGCAGGTACTGAGTCGTACAGCTTCCCTTTCCCACAAATATCTCTTACAGGTCAACTGTCTCTTAGTGTCTTTCTCTATAAAAGCTCTTTTTACTTTATACCTGTCTTCAGTGCTTTTCGGGTTTGCCTCTTAAAGCAGCGTTTTATTTAGCCAAGTAATCCATGATATGGGTCCCGTGGGTGTTTTACTTAGAAAGATTAAGAAGTTCTGTGTAGCAGTAGGAAATGGCTGCTCTTTGTCAACGATAGCTGACCTTATCCTACTAATACAAATAAGGTGAAGWCACTGAAAAAGTAATTGTGACTTTGTAAATTCTCTGCCAAAGTATCTCGGGCATTTAGATTTGCCAGGGCTTTGGTTGATGCTGGGTTAACTTAACGGTTTCTAATGCTACCGTAGAAAGGTGGTTAGAAAGAAGGAAGTAGGAAGTCACTGAAACTCCCCGTGACAAATGGTTGGTGATGGATCTTTCCCCAAGCCAGAATGTGACCAGATGATGAATGTGAAACTACTGTTTGCGCTGGTTTTTCAACTGCTRCCTCTTTGCACCTAACAGGCTCTCGCTGTGAGCCGCTGAGCGGCAAGCGGGCCCCACTCGGCCCCACCGTGGGCGCTGGAGCTGGGGTTTGCACCCACCACGGCGTAGGCCAGGCTTGGCGGGATGAAAATTCCCATCCYGGCCCCAGTTTAGCCAAGTGTTGTTCTCTGCCTTGCTTGCCTTGGCTGCAATTGCTAGACCTTGGTGAGGGAGCTTGAAAGAACTAGAGCCGCGGGCAGGGGAGAGGGCAGCTCTTCCTCTCCTACCCCTTCTTCCCCCCTCTTTCCTTCCCCCCTTTCTGCTCCAACATCCAACCTGAAACCTCCTTGTGCTTTCAAGTGCAGGAGCAGACACACACATCTGCAAACTCTTCCTCCAAAGCTTTTCCTGCAAGCCGAAGCAAACCAGAGCAAGAGCAGCCTGCAGGCCCCTTGGTCTTGCCTCTTTTATTTATTCTTTATTTTTTATATTAAAAACAAGCTTATTTGGGGAGAGAATGGGAATATTTAAGTGTTGCAAAAACGCTCRTCTCCGTCAAGAGACGTTCAGGCTTGTTCTTCTCCCAACTACAGGCATGTGCGAACAGAAGTAGSGGGTCCCGGTGATGTAGATGTGAGTGTTTTCTTTAATATGAACAACAACAACAAGTTCTGATTTAATTCTGCCCAGAAAAGCTAACCGCGCGGTGTTAAATTTCTACCAACAGGGCCCAAAGCTCCTGCCCCCCCGGGCTCCGACTGCCTCCCACCCTCACTCGCCTGCTCCAAACTACCAATGAGAGACTCCCCACCGCGGGGAAGGGAGGGAGCGGGGCGGATAAAAAAGTTCAGTTTCATTTTCCCCGAATAAGCCTTTATCTGCAARCCCAGGGGCAGGAAGGGGCTGCCCCCCTGCCAGAGGTTGCTGCTGCTGCTGGTGCTGCTGGTGCTGCTGCTGCGAGCCAGGTTTGTCCCCTTGCATCCAGCGTGAAACCCTTGGGGAAAAGTGAGGCAGAGAGTGAATATGGAAGAATTAAAGTTTGGGTTTTTTTTTTCCTTTTTCCTTTTTTTTTTTCTTTTTTTTTCTGTTTTTGGACAATTTGGGAGTCTGCTCTGAGTTTTGTTCGTACCTTTAGTTCTGAGTTTCCAGGGGCTGTGCTGAGCGCGGTTCACACCTTAGGGGCGGGCTGGGTTGTGCAGGTTGCTTCGGTGCGTGCCCTGGGTGCGTTTTGGGTGCATTTTGGGTGCGTTTTGGGTGCTTGGGGTGTTGCAGCACTGTCCCGCCGTGGGAGCTTGGGATGCCAGTAACATCAGCGGGGAGAGAAATGTGCTCCTGTTGCAAAGTTTTCAGCTACGAGAGGAGATGGGATGTGCATAATACCCATACATTGAATATTTTGCGTTGCAATGCCTTTCAGAGMGGGGCCGAGCTGCGGTTTTGGCACACGTGGCTCCGGCACTTGGCATCAGCGCTGCCCCTGCTCTCGGGACCTGCTCTTACCCCCGGGAGCCTCCCGCTATTTCCAAGGCCGCGCGGGCTTTAGGAAGGGCTCTCGGGAGGCTCGGGATGCGGCCGCTCCCGGCGGGATGCTGTGGGAGGGCTGTGGCAAGCAGCGCGCCCAGAAACGCGAGTTTCTGTTCTGCATTTTGTGCTCACTGGGGCCACAGGGAGGGGCCTCCAAGTTGGGCAGCTGTTTCCTTGCCTTGGCCAGCGCCCAAGGCAACTTGCAGCAAGAAATCCTGACACATTTCAGCGAGGGTTTTCCGTGGTTTTTGTTGTTTTCCTTCCACTTTTTTTTTTCTCTTTGTGCACAACCGTCGCGACTTTCCCTGCGGCTGGCTTGCTGAGGAGGAGATGGGAGGTTGTTTCCCAAATGCTTTGTGCTCGTGCCAAAGCTTTCTTTGGAAAACTGCTCCAAGTTCAACAAGTGAAACATCCGTGTTGTTTGCCTCAGCCTGGGACGGCTGCCGAGCTCCACGCAGAGCAAACAAAATCCGTGACCTTGCAAATGAGCAAACCCTTTCCGAGGTGGGAGAAAAAGCCGATGCTTGGAGGCTGCTTAGCAGGACCAGATTATAGGGAAAAACCGGAGAACAATCTGGATGCGGGAGTGAGCCTCATTTCACCGTCTGGCTGTGGTTTCCTGAATCCTTTTTTTTTTTTTTTTTTTTTTTTTTTTTTTGGTTATATAAGGTATATAAGATAACCTAATATGTTATCAGGTATAGGTATAGGTTATATACCTATAGGCATACCTCTTAGGAATTCGGTATAGGTTATATACCTATAACCTAATATGTTATAAGTATTATAACCTATAACCCCAACCTCTGGAGTTGGGGTATATAAGGTATATAAGATAACTTAATATGTTATAGATATATAACCTATAACCTTTATCAGATATAGGTATAGGTTATATACCTATGGGCATATCTATTAGGTATTCGGTATAGGTTATATATTTATAACCATATTAACCATTAACTAATAGGGTTATAGGTGTATAACCTATAACCCCAACCTCTGGAGTTGGGGTGTATAAGGTATCTAACCTAATACGTTATCTTATATACCTGGAAAAGACCTAGACAAAAGTGCTGGTTAGTGATCAATTTAAATGTAGTCAGTAGAACTGCATTTCTGCAGGGCACAGTTTGGGGAGAGTTCTGGTCTTTTCTGGAGGAAAAACAAACAAAAAAAGAAGTGGCAGTGACCTAAAGAATGGGCAGCGATTTTGTAAAATGTTTCTTACAGTGCCAAGACAAACCATATGAGAGCATCTGGGTGGGGAATATTTAGTGAATTTACCCTGTRGGTGCCTTCATTGGCTGCTGCAGTTTATCCACCAGGATCGCTCCAGCTTCCCTGCTGTGTTTCCTGCCGGCTGCCACTAACGCCCCCGTCCCTCCCCGTTCCCTTTCAGAGGACCGAGGTGATCTGCAGAAAGCAGGATGGACACTCAGCCCGTTATTACAACCCAGCCTCAGTATGACATGATCTCCACCATGCCGAGAAACAAGTGGCAGACGGGCCTGATGGACTGTTGCACCGACTGTGGCGTGTGTAAGTGCCGAAGCGGGGCTTATTTCACCCGTCCTTGCTCAGAGGGACCTCAGGAGGCAACACAGGCAGCCTTATTTAGTGGGTAAAAAGTAAACGGCAGGAAACTTGCAGTCTCTCGTGCCACAGAGCCCCCCTCCTCTTGTCCCATCCCTAGGACCTGAGGCAAATCCAAGCCCAAACTCACTTGCTCCTGTTTTTCCTCTTATTCCAGGCTTATGTGGGGCGTTCTGCTTTCCCTGTCTCGCCTGCGAGGTGGCCGGGGACATGAACGAGTGCTGCTTGTGCGGCACCAGCGTGGCGATAAGGACCCTCTACCGCACCAGATACAATATCCCGGTTAGTGCTTCGTCCCTGCTCCTTCCTTGCTCAAAGAGCAAACGTTAAGTGTCTCCGGGGGGCCTCTTGCGAAGGACATAACGAATGTATGGGGGGCCACAGCATTCTGTGCCTGCCGTTTTTCAAGATTATATTTCCTGGGCGATGTTGGGAGTATGGAATGGGAGCCAGGAGAGCTGCAGCTGCACAAATCCCTTGGCTGATTTTAAAAAGCTGGGTTTAATCTTAGACAGCTTGCTCACAGCATCCTTTGTTATCTTGTTTGGAGGCACTGGAGAAACGTGTTCGCTCATATATATTAAATTTGGCAAAGCATTTATTTTCAGAGGTAACTTAGTRTTTTCCGTAGTGCAAATCAAAGCTYCCCATTCAAAATCACCCAAATTGCCTCTCTCGTTTATCTGTTTTTCCACTCGGTTTTAASCTAGAGAGCAAAAAGAGGAATAGCTATCTGAATGCTGTACTAACTTCTTTATTTTCGTATTTTCTAGTTGTGTTCCRAGTCCTCTATGTTCTAAAACAAATTCAGTCATTAGTACTGAAATGTTTTAGCATTTTTAAAGATGTAGATTCGGGAGCTCAACACAAAAACAAGAAAAAGAGCATCAAGGAGGAAACAAGAGAGACATGACATGGGCTGTGATTAACTTCTTAGATGAACTTCGTAGATTCTTAGATGAGATGCGGTTTTTGAACAGGTCTACACTCTTAAATAATTTCTGTTTAACAGGGGTCCATTTGCTCGGATTACTGTGTCACCATGTGTTGTCCCGTGTGCTCCGTTTGTCAAATGAAGAGAGATATCAAGAAGAGGAGGGAGTGTGGCATATTCTGGTAGGCTCGACCTGGCCCGCAGCAAGACCTTAACGGGAGCYTGCAGTGACGGGGGAGACCCGCGGCTCCAGGAGGGTGTCTGTGGGTCCCGGTTCTGCAGCGGGGAGCAAAACCAGACCGAGACGGCGCGCGAGGGCCGTGGGCCGGGTGCGAAATGGGCCTGGGGGGTGAAGCGGCGGGGACCGGGGCACCGGGGAGCGGTGGCGCTGCGCGGGGCTCACGCTGCCCTGCTTGTGTGACAGATCGGCGCCGGGCCCTGGTGCTGCTGCCCCCGTCCTGTGGCGACCACCGCTGGCCGCGGGGGCCGGTGCGGAGATGCTGCATGCCGGAGGGGCCGGAGCCGCCTGGGAACGCTCCCCGGAGGGCGTCGCTTGCTTTTGTGAGCTCTTTTCTGTGTTATGAATATCAATAAATTGCACTGCTTGGCCTCACTTGCACTATGTGTTACCTTCCTGGAGCACCTAGAGGTTTTGGGAAACTCTTCCTCCTCCTCCCTAACTAACTTCCAGTTTAGCAGCTCCACTCTGTCCGATGTGCAGCTGAGATTTCTCTGTACCCTACTGCGGAGAGAGATTTTGACTATTTCTTTTATTTATATATTTGCAGAACTTTTTTAAAAAAAGTTTTTAAATATGTCTAAGGTGTTTATTTTACTCATCTAGAATGCTACCTGGGACTATATATATTTTTTTCATTTTATTGGGCTGAAGCTGAATTTTCCAAGGGGTGACATTATTTCAAATGACCACAGCAACAACAACAACGGCAAAAGATTAGAAAAGGAAACGTGGGTGGATGCTCTGCAACATCTTCTCTTTGGGAACAACAGCTTTGAGCCACGTACTGTTTCTGTGAAAGGAGAAGTGGGGAGCAGAGATGTAAAAATGTCTTTGGGTCAGGGTAGACCTTTCTGAGAGCAAACTCTGCCCCACTCTGGCCACAGCAAGCCAAAGCAGATGGGCTGGGGTTTGGTCTGACACGTAAGGATTTTGCCCCAAGATGGACAGCAGAGACACTGCAGTTGTCCTCATTCTGACATCTGCGGAGAGCTACTAAAGGACTCTTGGATTTCACAGGTTCTCTCCCAAATTTACCGTGTGAAGAACTCCATTTTTGCAGCAAGGACCCAAAGCCCCTCAGCCCTAGCGCAGCTCAGCCCTGCTCGCTCTGTCGGGCTYGCTCCTCGTGGCTCTCCCTGCCCGGTCTCCCTTCTGGGCATCCTGTAGAAACTGGGGAACGGCACTGCCATCCAAAGCAAGTAGAGGGCTCTTTCCGCCCAGTATAAGGAAGTGATAAGAGTTTGTACATAGGCTTTGAGGCAGGGACTGCGTCACCCAGAAGTTATTTCTTTATGACAGCCAGATTTATCAGGAATTTACCTACCGGGCTACCTGGCAGGAACTGCACCTCCACCAGGAAATTCATCAAAGCAGGCCCAAAATTCGACTGCAAACTTTCCTTCTCCAAAAACTGTTCCCTCTCTGAGGTTGGTACCTTTGGTAAAGTATYGGCCCAAACGGATGTCACCGAGAGCCCTGGAAAAGCAGCAAGCATCCTGGACGGACCCCCTCGGCGCCGAGGCTGGCGTTACGCAACGGGGTGCGCGTTGCTTTATCTGCCGGTAGTCAGGCGGAGCAGAGGTCACCTTTGCAATGCATCCCGGAGAGCATATAAAGGCGAGGAGCAGCAACAGGCAGCTCACTCCTCCAACCAGGACTGCTCGCAGGCGGTACGTGCATTTTGCCTTCTTTTCTCCTTCTTTCTTTTTTTTTTTTTTTTTTTTGCATTTGGCAAGCTTGCCTAAGTAAAAAATACTGGTACCCACTTAGCTGCCGGCCTGGCTGTTTCCTATGGCGGAGTTGCAGCAAATGTAGCTTCAAAGCCAAATCGTGTGGGTGCTGCCGCTGGGCATTTTAGCAGAGGCGTTTTAGGCGATGCCCAGCAAGGGCAGTGGGCAGAGCTGCTGCTGGAGCTGCCATGGGCCTGGGCACCGCTCAGGCTCTGCGCTGGCTCCGCTGCGGGGGGACGTGGGTGTCACTTTGGGAGAGCCTGGCTCCTCTGCTGAGGCTCTGTGTTTCTGGCAGGGTGCAGGTGGCACCGGCAAAGCCATGATCTTGGTTTGGAGGGGGGTTAAACCTAATTTAATGTATTGCTGGCTAATGCAAATTTTTCATGAGTCAATATGGTGGAGGAAAAAGGAAGCCTAAATCATTAAACAAAGGCGAGGTAAGCACACACCCTCTTGGTTTTCCCAGGGCTCAAGTGAAGCCAAACGTTGCTCTGCTCATTGCGAACACCTTCAGTGGGCAGTGCAGGTTGTTGGACAGGCAGAGCGAGAGGGTGGGATTGTGCATGTGTGAGTCATTTTTCATCCTGTGCTTCTCCATGGTCCTTGCTGCTTTCCTGCTGCTGCCCAACATCCCCGACCTGGCATGGCTGAAGTCCCTTTGAGGGTGTCCAGGGAGGTTGTGGAGTCTCCTTCTCTGGAGGTCTTCAAAACTCACCTGGATGCCACCCTGTGCCACATGCTCTGGGTGTCCCTGTTGAAGCGGGAAGGTTGGACAAGATGATCTCTAGAGGTCCCTTCCAACCTTGAACATTCTGTGATTTTGTGCTTCTGTGTCCTCTCCTGCCAGAATGAGCAGAGTGCTTCAGGATGCACCAGCTGCAGGAATGAACCGGGTGCTCCTGCGTGCACCAGCTGGGTGCTGCTGCATCGCTTGTGTGTCAACCGTGAGCTCCCACATGTGCTGACTGGGTGCTCGGATTTAAATGAATGTGTGCACACGTGGAGGGTGCCGAGGCTGAGCTGCCATGGGGGGAACTGGGTGCTCGCACGCAAACGCCTGCAAGTTGGCTGCACGCCCGTGATAATCCATGACTCGCTCCCGCGCGCGTTAGTTGTGTGCTCCCGCTGGGGCCGGTARGCGCCGGGACTCGGGCCGGCATGAGGAGCCCCGCGGGTTGGCCGGCTCGGGGAGCACCTGGGGCTTTGGGCGCTGCGAGGACGGGCGTCCCGCTCTGAGCGGGGACTTGAGGGCTGCCCTGCACCGCGCGCCCTCAGCCGTGCCAGCCCTGGGGCGCCGTTGGCGCACCCGGTGCCTGCAGGTTGTGGCAGCCCTCGGGGCAGGGGTGCCGGGGCTGGTTTGAGCCTGTGCCAAAGGTCTCCTTCCCTAGAAGCTCTTGTGCTTATCATTGTGGGAGACACAAAGCGCTGGTTTTACTGCTCCACAGCAGTTACAGCAACAGCAAGAAAACAGCTTTGTCCTTCCATCTGCAGCATTCCTTGGTTAACGCGACCATCCTGCTAGATGGCTACTTGTCCTTCAGGGCAACCAGGGCTGGAATTGCATAGCGAAAAAGGTTATGCTCAGTCTAGTTGCAGTGCTGCTGCTTGGACAATGTGCCTTGTGAACAGGTCGAATGGAGAGTTTCTACAGCCCTTCTTCCATGTCCTGTCTTGGGTCATGGCAGAACCAAGCTCCCTTCTGCTTATTGCAAAGTGTTATGAGGAAGAGAGAGGGTTTTTTTTAAAAAAAGTCCTTCCTTACTGGAAAATAACTCCTCGGAGTCAGTATTTAGTTGTTAGGTGGTGGTCTGTGTTCAGAGAGCAGCGTGGGATTTCCAGAGGCTGCACTGCTGGAGCACAGGGGGACTCTCCGGGGCCATGAGTGCAGCCGGTGTCTTTATGGGGTCCTGGTGAAGGGACAGAACTGAGCAGCGCTCTTGGTCAGCCGAGGAAGGGGAAACAGCCCAAGGTCATTCCTTCGAGGTGGTGCCCGAGCTCCGGAGGATGAGGAAGAGAACGGCAAGTGGCTGAGAGAGAGGGGCAAAGGGAGGAGGCAAGGGAAAGAGGATCGTGTTTATCACAGCGAGGGAAATTTCAAGGGAAAACAGCTACTTGAAAACCTGCCAAGAAAACAGAGAGCGGGAAGAGCCTGCTCTGGAAGCTTCTACTACCGTGAGYGGATGATTTCTGTTTTGGAATTAATACCTTTATATATCATATATATTTTATGTATATTTAAATATTTATGTAATTACATAAAAATAAAACCAAAACCCTACCAGGTAAAGCAGTTAACGGAGGCATTTAACCTGGAGGTTAGAAGACGGGATTGACCAACAGAAGCCCTGTGCTTCTGAAGCCGCAGGGCTTCTGGAGGAAGAAGTAGCTTCCATGTGCAGGCAGGATGATGAAATTTACTGGCCTCAAACCGGCCCCACTGGCTCCAAGCCCGCTCTCCTTGGCCCCTGACCCACTGYGACTTGTGCTCTGGACCTCCCAACGTGATGCTCTCTTGTGAAGGGGGTGATAATGGCGGTCTGCAAGATACGTACATGTCTGAGGGCAGCAGCAAGAGATCCAGCTTAGACATAACTATAGTGTCTTTGTTCCATATCTCTCTTCCAGAATAGAAACTGCGAGTGACCCGAGAGCTGCGGAATGGCCGCTCAACGCGTGATTACGATACAGCCTCAGTTTTTAGGTCCTCCACAGTCGAGCGAATGGCAGACAGATTTGATGGACTGCTGCTCTGACTTTGGAGTGTGTAAGTGCACCCACGCCTCTCATTTTTGGCATTTACTTTCGCTGGGTATTTCTGCTGTGTCCCCTGGGAGAGGCTGGAGCCATGACTCTCCAGTTGGATGTTATGGTCATTTCTGGATGTTATGGCAGGGTGCTGGGTCGAGTATGCTGAGTAACTGCTCATGTTGCAAACACTCTTTTTTCTCAGTAAAGGTGGCAGAGCCACTTTTGCTAGAGACGGAGAGGTCTTTGAGAGGCCTCTCCAGCTGTTGGTCTGGTTTGCCAATGCACCTCCTTTCTGTGCCATATCTCTCACCTCATCTGCTCCTCTTGACAGAAAGAACATCTCATTTTTCTTCACCTCTCTGCAGGTTTATGTGGCGCCTTCTGCTTCCCTTGCCTRGGGTGTCAGGTGGCCAGTGACATGGACGAGTGCTGCTTGTGTGGCTGCAGCGTGGSCATGAGGACACTCTACCGCACCAAATACAACATCCGGGTTAGTGATTCCCCTTTTCCTCTTTGAAGCCTTCAGAGAAAGAGATGAAATAAAATAGATTCCATGAACTAAATAAAAACAGTTAAAACAAAGAAAGACGATTTCAAAAGGCAAATAGAAAGGAGGGGATGTATTATTGTTACGATGGCTATTTCCACCCAGGGGTCCATTCTGAAGGATCATATGGCCGTCCTGTGCTTTCCTGCCTGCGCTCTTTGTCAGCTGAAGAGAGATATCAACAGGAGGAAAGAGCAGGGCATATTCTGGTAAGTGTGTCCATAGGTAAGTGTGTTCGTGCGGCGAGCGCCGGCTGGCAACCCGCGGCCCCGCTTGTTGGCGCGGCGGGCCGGGCTGCCCGGGGTTCACCCGCCCTTCACTGTGTGACAGATGGGTCCCGAGCTGCGGCGCGGCCGTCCCCGTCCCTGGCGGCTGCCGCCAGCCTCGCTGCRTGCTCTGGAGTCACCACGCACACGGGCCGCAAGCTGCGCCGGCGCCTGGGAAACGGACCGCGCTCGTCTTGCTTGATTGCTGGTGATCCCTTCGGCCCCTGCTTTAATCATCAATAAACTGCGACRTTGCAGGGCGTTTGTGGCACGTGCCCTCTTTAGTCCTGTTGTTTTCTTCAGTGCTCTGCTGCAACAGCAGCGTCAAATGTATTTTTTTTTTATGTTGTGAATTCAGACCAGTGTTTAATCTAACAGATAGAGTGAGCAGTGCACGTGCAGTGTATTGGGACAAGCCAAAAGCAAAGTTTGCTGCAGCCATCTCAGCAGCTGCCCCACGGAAAGCCCAGCTTGCAGGCAGCCGTGAGCAACCAGCCCCAGGGACAGCATTGCCCTGTGCTCCTCGTGCCGGGGGTGGGCAGAAAGCACAACCTTTCCCTCCCAACAGCAGGCCAGATGTCAGTTTGCCCTCTCTCCTAGCAGTATCGTTCTTGCCAGCACTGCCCRTGGCCATGGCCATGTCGCTTCTGCCCGCCAGGATGTAAAACATCGTATAATTGTGTTACTAACGAATAGCATTGCTGCTCAGGTTTGCTGACGAGGGGACCAGAGATTATGTGCAGGTGTTGCAGGCAGAGTCCCACAGCCCCTAGGCCTGCAAAGCCCAGAGAAGGGCCCTGAGTGTCCCCCAAGGTGTGACCCATGGGTCCTTTCAGGAAAACGGGGGAGCTCCTTAGCAATCCAGCAACAATCTTACACACCCAGACAACCTAGGAGAAGTTGCCTGCACGGAAGCCGACTCTCCCCTGGCCCCTGTGGCTGCAGAACCAGCTCTTGCAGCCAGTGTGAGGAGCCTTGGCAGGTTGGGGTGAGAGGACACAGTGTGGATCTTTTGCCTCTGCACAGGAAACAAGCGGCTTGGGAGAAGAAAAGGCAGATAATATGGTTACAGAATACGTACAAAATTGAGGTAAGAAGCATGTGGAGCATGGCACTAAGACCTRTGTAGGGAACCATGAATTAGCAAGTAGGTGTTACAATTAGGATGTACTAACACATCAATCACTTCGAGGTCCATCTGTGGGCATCTTTATGTGAAATAATGCCCAATTAGGTTTTAGAATTGATGAAAGGAACATCTTATCTTGGACTTCCTCAAGAATCTTGCCTACAAGCACTGTGTGACCCGTGTTGACTTGATACGTTATATAGATAATGTGAGTGGGGACCTTCCCTGAACAACCAGCAGGCCCCCATGTGAGCACAGTGAGGATTGCTGACACTGCAATATGAGGCTGGGCATGGTGGAAGAAGAAAAGCAGACAGGACACTTACATATGTATTAGATAGGTAGAACCCTGGATGTCTCTGTGTCTAAATAACCATGAGAAAGCCCCATGAGGTGCGCTAGAAGTGAGCTTTGCCCCAGCACCCTGCAGTGARTTAACTAACGTGGCTTTCTGAAGCATCATTTGGCTGGGAGAGGTACTTTGTCTAGCTTTTCTTTGGCAACAAARCCATTTCCAGAAGCAGGGAGCTGGGAGATGGGGTGGCTGGGTGGGTATCACCGGCGCCAGCTGGGGTTAGACGCAGCTGGGCCCAAGCACCAAATCCCCGCGGGAGCAAAGCGGGGGACCGTGCTCTCCATGTCACTGTCCAAGCGAAAGGCAACAGCCACTGCCACCCCGGGGCGGCTGCTGCTGCCGCGCTGGGCGCTGAGCTGMGCTGCCCAAAGGTGGCGGAGGGGGCCCACAGGCCCCCATTAGGCTGGGAAGATTCCCAGAAGAAGGGAGAGCGCCATGACCCTCCCGGCGCCATTGCGCCCTCAGTGTCCCTGAGGCAGCAGACATGGCGGTGTGAGGCCTGTAAAGGGTTAACAGGGTAGCGCGTGTTCTGCTTCTGTACAAAGCTTGCATGCTAAAGACGTATAAGACATAAGCTATGTAATCTACAGTTAACCTTTCCACCTGCTTCTGTAAATATCRCTTGCTGAAAGGGAGGACGAGGACTAACAGCATACATACCCTGCTCTTGCTGTGGCCCCAAGATAAGATTCCAAACATGCCAAGCGGAAAGGAGATTGTGAAAGCGGGGGCTATTCAATAGTGGTCGTAAATAACGTTTAACAAAGAAGTTGTAGCCGTCTATAAAAACACGAACCTCTGCTCAAGCGGCGCGGATCTCAGGACAAGGTGTAAGAGGTTCGCCGCCGGCCGGCTGATAAAGCTTGCTTTTAAACCCCAAGGTTGAGCGGGCGGGTGATTACGGACTAACGTTTTGGGGGCTCGTCTGGGATCCCGTAATCACCAGGCCCTCCCTGGCTGGGAAGGGCCWTCCGACTCATTTCGCTGGGGGAATGTTTCCAGGGGGAGCGCTACCTGATAACGTTCCAGGTCCCCAGATCTCGTAACCTCGAGGTAAGGGATTGTATCATCCATAAGGGGCGCCCGGACTTGGTGGTGGACTGTGGGAGGTCTGATGAGACARTAACTCCCTGCCTCCGGCACGCACTGGGACGCTGCTGCCTTGCCTTAGGTACAGGTTTCGATTTTAACAGGTTTAGGTTTTAACAGGTTTTTCATGGTTCATGTTCCTTGTGTCTTCTTGTGTCCCTTTGTTTTTGTCTGTTGTGCTTTGTTTGTTTTGTTCGTGCCTTGAATCCGGATGGAATGGGACATTTGAGCTTCATTCCCGAAGGACCTTTGAATTGTTTTCTGTCTAATTTTCCAAAATTTAGGAAATGGGTCCTTTTAAATGATGGGTTCAGTATAAAATCTGTTAAATTTAAATTACTTTGTAGTGTGGAATGGCCCACTTTCGGTGTTGGATGGCCCCCTGAGGGGTCCTTCGGCCCCAAAATAGTTCAAAAAGTATTATTTATTGTCCTGGGGGAACCTAGTCATCCTGACCAGATTCCCTGCATTGTTCCTTGGAAAGACATTTTAAAGAATCCTCCTATTTGGTTACAGTCCAGGGCGAGACCTTCTGTCTCCATCCCACACAAGGTGGGGCAGGTTTATGGTGTGCAGAGGGCTGGGGGTGCTTCTTCCCCAGACTCCACCGGCCCACCAGCCCCGATGCTGCCTCTCAGGCAAGTCCCTGAAGGAAGTGGGAGTGTGTATACATACATATACATATATATATATATATATATATATATATATATATATATATGTGCCCTTCTCCACCATAGACCTGTGTAACTGGAAGCAACAAAACCCTCCTTTCTCACAGGATCCTGGGGGCATGATATCCCTCCTTAAATTTGTAATGCATAGTCATCAGCTGACATGGCATGATCGTCAGCAGCTCCTCCATGCTCTCTTTAAATTGCAAGAAAGGGAGAGAATATTAAGGGGACCTAGAGAAGGGGACCTAGAGAATCAATACCAGGTATAGAAAACCCGACTGAACAGAGTCATAGAAACATTCAAGATGAACATATGCCCCTCCAGCGGCTGGAGTGGGACTACCGTGCAGTGGACGGACAAAGGTCCATTGAGTTGTATCATCGGCAGTGTCTGATACAAGGGCTTCAAAGGGCAGCCAGAGAACCTATAAATGCGTCAAAAGTAGCAGAAGTCAAACAAGGTCCCTCTGAAGCTCCAAGTGCGTTCCTGGAACACTTATTAGAGGCATATAGAATCTGCATCCCTATTGATCCAGGGGAGCCTGCAGACCAAAAACCTATTAATTTGGCCTTTGTATTGCAATCAGCCCGGGATGTTAGGAAAAAAAACACGGATATTAGGACTAACAGCGGCAGAGCTGGCACCCGGGGACCGCTCTTTTTCCTGACCTCCCGTCCCGCTTCCCGCCCCCTGCCCCTTCCTGCAGTCGCGGGCGCGTCCGCCAGGCGGCGCCGCCGGGCGCGGGGGGCGGCGCGGAGGGAGGGGCGGCGCGGAGGGAGGGGCGG